TGCTTCACAAAAGAATCCTCAGGGAAAATTAGGGTTAAGGAACTCTCTGGGAAAAGCCTCATAACATTTATTTTAAACCAGTATCACAGCAACTGCCACAACACCCGGGACACATCCTGGAAACAGACATCCCCCCAGCCTTCCTCACGCCATCTCCCAACCCCACCCAGACTCGCGTGGGAGAGGGCATGTATCCCACCACACAGATTGGGTTATTGTGGGGGATGGCTGAACACAAGATTCTTTCTTAGAAGTGATAGTTAAAATAAATAAGATAGACTCTCTCCACAGGGAAAAAAACTGCTTAATATCACTAATTACATCAGAGAAAGGCAAATCAAAACTACCGTGAGGTGTCACCTCACACCAGTCAGAATGGCCATCCTTAAAAAGTCCACAACAGATAAATGCTGGAGAGGGTGTGGAGGAAAGGGACCCCTCCAACACCGTTGGTGGGTACGTAGTTTGGTGCAGCTACTATGGAAGACAGCATGGAAGTTCCTTAAAAAAAACGAATTTGAGCATTTCTTCACTTTCTGGCAAAAAAAAAAAAAAAAAAAGTCAACCTAGCCCTGAAATCAGCCATTTATCCAAAAAGCTCTGGTTCCTTTAATGGAAAATGGCATTTACTGGGTTCGGTGTGCTCATGGCTTCACTTGGTCCTGGGGCATCACTGCTCCCAGGACTTCTCAGTGGACAGAGTCAGGGGCTATTTCTCTTTCTCTCTCTGTCTCTGACTCTCCTTGTCTCCCTCCCTCCTCCTCTGTCTCTGTCTCTATCTCTGTATCTCTCTCATCTATCTAGATTAAAGAACAAATTTACACCAATATCTCTAATTCCAGTTCAGTTCATTTTTATTTTCTGCCTAGCATGATTGTAACTCCTTGCTCCAACAGTGAGAAACCTGTTCTCTTTATCCTTAAAGTATTTCATAAAGTGGTCAATCCCCCTGTATGTAACCTATGCCCTGTTGCTTCAGCCACCCGCTCCTCTGCATGGTACCTTCACCTTTCTCAGGCTCTGATGCCCCAGGGCTACCCTCCTGCAGGGACACCCTTCTACCCCGGCTCCACCTGGTTCTCCACTGGCTCCAACACTCACACCAAGATGCTACTTCTTCTCATGGACACCCTTCAAGCATGGTCATCCTGCTCTACCTCCCCACCCTGACCTGTGCAGACATGTGCCCTTGCTTGACCTTGTCCGAAAGATTTGGACCAAATCGTTTGAATAGAGAAGAGGAAGAATAAAACGTGTGCACCATTTAGGGTTTGCCTATTTTAAGTTTGGGTTATTTATTTAGTTATGGTTGTGTGAGAAAAGCTGCATTTAAGTTTAACTACAGCTACAAATGATCTCTGGCATTTTGAATTACTGTAATTATATGAATTAATTCTTGCATTTTTTGAACTCATGGACCTTCTAAATAGTAATAAGAATAGCCCTCAGGTGGTCCAGAAATGCAGAGTCACTCTGTGTGCATCTCTGTGGGTTTTTCAGCACCTTGCTTCCTGATGTCTCTATTCTTTCACTTTCCCATGAAGGTAACCGTATCTCCTTCCACACTGCTCTGTCCCCAGCATTTCTCAGACTCCATTCCTGTCCAAGCACTTTTTTAAAAATTGAGGTACAGTTGACTTACAATGTTGTGTTAGTTTCTGGTATACAGCATAGTGATTCAGTTATACCTATATATATATATATATATATATATATATATATTCCTTTTCATGATAGGCTATTACAATGTATTGAATATAGCCCCCTGTGCTATACCGCAGGACCTTGTGGTTTATCTATTTTATATATAGTGGTATGTATCTGCTAATTCCAAACTCCTAATTTATCCCTCCTCCCACCTCTCTCCCTGGTAACCATAAGTTTGTTTTCTATATCTCTGAGTCTGTTTCTGTTTTGTAAATAAGTTCATTTGTGTCATTTTTTAAGATTCCACATATAAGTGACATCATATGGTATTTTTCTTTCTATTTCTGGCTTACTTCACTTAGTATAATAATCTCCAGGCCCATCCCCTCCCTGTCCAGGCATTTCAGAGTGCCACCCCAGCCTGTTTCCCAGAATTCTGCCTTTCTTTCCCACTATATGAATGTCCTTGTGGAGCCACGTATTTCAGAAAGCACAGCTGCGATGGTTTATGGAGAGCCTGAGAAAAGCAAGGCACTCTGTTCCCTGATTCACTGGGGAAGGTCGGTAAGCCACTGTCTATAAGCGAGAGAGACAGTCTGTTACGTATTGGTTGCCCATTTGCTCATCACAGAGGGGCCATTTTATTTGCTCCCATCGGGATCTGCCCAGGTCCCCCCAGTGCTAGGACATCTGGTCTCTCCATGTGGTACAGGCATCTCGGGGCACAGCTGTGGCCCAGCAGCTTCCCATTCCCAGCATAATGCCTTCATGGTCTTCTGGTGGTTAAAAAAAAGAAAATTCCAAACAAGAATATCAAATGTTGTGTCTGTGCCATAATTATGAAAAGAAGTTAGAATAGAATGGTCACCACCAGCCTCCAGTAACTGCATGTTCCATCTGGAAGCATTTGGCATGAATTTGAGTTATGCTGATGATCACTTGGTAACCCTTGGGTTGATAATTCTGATGGCCAATTTCTGATGCAAAAGTACAATTAATGTTTTGTTGTTTCATAGTGGAAAGACTTTTCAGGGAGACACGAAATGAGGCAGGATCACAAGTATTTTTAAATAACTTGCTGGTAGGTTTTCTTTCCGTGTGCTTGGAAGGGGTAAGATTCAAGGGAAAATGAGTGGAACTTACAAAAGCTGTGAACTCATTGCCTCTGATGGCAGGGAAGGTGTGCCGTCCCTTGGTGAATTTGCTCCAGGAGACCAGGAGGTAAGCCCGGGGAGGGTAACTGAATGTGCCAGGTTGTTTGGGGGAAATGAACAGCACTAAGGGGAGAAGACCTTTCCGAGAACACACCTTGGAAACATTTACTTAGATCAGCAATCACTTTTTCTATGAGGGGCTGCGAAAGAGTTTATATTTTTGTGCTTAGAGCAGGAAAGAAGGGAAAATGGAAAGAAGAGAGACCTAATTAGGCCAGGGCAGGATAAAGGAAAAGCTCCCTGGGGTAGAAAAAGTGCCAGGCCCTCCGGGGATGCCAAGGATAATTTTATGCCACCATGTGAGAGCAGTCACAAGGACTTTGAGCTGAAATAACTACTCTGACTTTAAATTGGCCTCTTCACCTCAAAGGAGCTCAATTAAATTCAATTCTCCCAGTGCTTCCTGAGTACCTGCTCCCCATGGGACCCCTCAAGAGACCATTTAAAGTTCCCAGGGCTTCCTTCTGTAACAGCAGACCAGCACGCTGTCACCACCTCCCTCTGCTTGCTGCTTCTGGGAACTTCTATTCATTCTCTTTGACAAGTTTTCAGTGTTACTACAGTAACGAGGCAGGCAACACCTTTCCCATGACTTGATAACTGTGTTCAGGGGATTTAGCTGCTTGTGTCTTGAGAAGTCCACATAATTCCTGTAAATATCTTTAGATTCCCCTTTTAGGCCATTACTGCTGTTCTCCCAGCCCAGAAAGGAAGCAGCCTCTGTCTGCAGGGAGGAGAAACAAGACACTGAAGTCGAGCAGTCTGCTGCCAAGATGGCTCCTGAAACAGTGTTTGCCTCCTTTTGTGAAATAGTTCTAGATACGTTTTAAATTTTTTTATATACAATTTTTAAAGGCTACTATCCATTTACAGTTATTACAAAATATTGGCTATATTCCTGTGTTGTGCAATACATCCTTGAGCCCACCTTACACGCAGTAGCTTGTACCTCGCACTCCCCCACCTGTATGTTGCCCCTCCCCACGACTGGTAACCACTGGTTTGTTCTCTATAACTGTGAGTCTGCTTCTTTTATGCTATGTTCACTAGTTGTAGTTTTTAGATTCCATATATAAACGATATCATACAGTATTTATCTTTCTCTGTTTGGCTTATTTCACTTAGTATAATGTCCTCTAAGTCCATTCATGTTGCTGCAAATGGCAAAATTTCATGTTATAGTAGTATCCCATACACACACACACACACACACACACACATCTTCTTTTCCCATTCATCTGTTGATGGACACTTAGGTTGTTCCCATGTCTTGGCAGTCACAAATAATGCTGCTAGGAACATTGGGGTGCATGTATCTTTTCAAATTAGAGCTTTTGGTTTTTTCAGATATATACCCAACAGTGGCATTGCTGGGTCATATGACAATTCTAGTTTTAGTTTTTTGAGAAACTTCCATACTGTTTTCCACAGTGCTTACATCAATTTATAGTCCCACCAACAGTGTACAAGTGTTCCCTTTCTCCACATCCTCACCAATATTTGTTTTTTGTAGACTATTTGAGGATAGCCATCTGACAGGTGTGAGGTGATATCTCATCATGATTTTGATTTGCATTTCCCTGATAATGAGTGATGTTAAACATCTTTTCAGGTGCCTGTTGGCCATCTGCGTTTCCTCCCTGTGCTGAGTACTTTATACATGTTTAGTTCTCAGTAAAGATTTTTAATTTATCTATTAAGAAATTCTATCTTTAAAATGGACCTAAGGTGAAATGGAAGAACCCTTGACTCCATAATTAAATACATGATGAGTGAAGTCATTATAACCAATCTTTTAATTTCATACAAGTCTGTTTCCCCACACCTAAACATTTTATAGAAATCTTATTCATATCTTACCTTAAAGATACAATGATGCAGCTCTAGTATATAAATGTTCTTTGATTTTCTTTTCATTCATAAATGAACTACTATAGGTCAATGACTATCTCCTCAAAATTAGAGACTCACAGCTTTTGGCATGACTAAAGATTTACATCTTTGTTCCAAATATATCGTTTCTAAGACCTACCCTTTTTTGTTTATAAACCTATCCCTCAACTTTCATATTTTCATTTTCCAATTAATTTGTAACATGATAAGATCTAGCACAATAAAATATTTTAGAAATGTACCCACCTGCTGTTCACACACATTACAAACCGACCAAACTGATCTATTGGCTGGCAGGCAGTGACCCCGTGCAGAGCTCAAAATGTTTGTTCCTCAGCTGAGCGTACAACAGTCTATAAGCAGCACTACCACATGTGGTTGGGCAGAGTCGAATGTTGCCTTTATAGAAAAAAGTGTCAGGGCAGTCTTCCAGCTGGGACAAGGGAAAGAAAACAGATCTGTGTGTTGCCTCCTATTAGACACACTTATGGTGGTAAGACGTTCTCAATTCACAGAAACCTTGAGGGGTATTGTCTTCTCCACATTTTTAGAAGAAAACAAATTTAGGCTCAGTGAAGTTAAAAAACTCGCCCAAGGTCATACGGTTAATAAACGCAGAGTTCATCTGGGATTGGAACTCAGAAATATTTAGTTTGAGAAATTGTCCTCCCACGCAGAAACAAGGTAGCCTCACCCCGTGGTATCTGTGGGGGATTGGATCCAGGGCCCCCAGAATACTCAAATCCATGGATGCTCAATTCCTTTATATAAAACGGCACAGTATTTGCATGTAATCTATGTGGATCCTACCATGTACTTTAAGTCATCCCCAGGTTGCTTAAAATACCAAACACAATGTAAATGCTATGGAAATAATTGCCAGCATGTGGCAAAGTTAAAATTTGCTTTTGGGAACTTCCTGGAACTAAACAACAACAACAACAAAAAAAACCACTTCTGATACACAGATGTGAAAACCACTGATGCAGAAGGGTGACTGCTCACCAAAGCCACTCGTGCCTCCTCGGGTGACAACTATTACGGGATTTGCTGCTGACGCTGCTGCTGCTATTGTTGTTATTATTATAATTCTTATTATTTGGACGACTACACTGAGGAACTTGGGGCAGACCAGTTGCTCTGTCTCTCTACACATTAAAAAAAAAATCCTTGGCAGCTCTAAACACAAACGTTAAGTTATTGGAAGATTTGGAAGCCTTATATCAAAGATTAGCCAACTAGGCCTTTATAATATCTTTTTGACTGGTTTTTTGGCTTCAAATTTTATTTTTAGTAAATTATCAGACACACAGCAACATGAAGTACATATGAAAGAGGAACATCGTGGCGAGAAATGAGATGTTTGACAGAAAGGGCAACCTTTAGAGACCTGTAGATGAAGAAGCACACACCAACCACGCTACTTCTCTTCAGTTGTTCGTTCTTGGGAAAGCATTTGGCTGATGAATCATCTTAGTAATGCTTTTTAAAAAATTGGAAATGTGCTGAGTGAGCTTCAGAGCTGAGCTAGTTATGGTCAAACACATTTCCAATTTTTAGCTGACTCCGAGAGATTCTGTTTGGCCAGTTGTTGCAAATGAGATCACTTTACATGAACACTTGGAGCAAATCGTGGTGCTCTGAGCCCCCATCTGCTTGATTAGTTAGAACTGTAGTTTTTTCTTGGGGTTTGCATCCCCAAACATTTTGAAACTCCCTGGGGTCTTATGTGTGTCTGTGAATCAGTTTCCTTTGCCAACCTGTTTCGGAAATGGACAACAATTTGCTCTTTAGGAATAGACTCCTAAGGCCAGATGCTAGTTGGGAATTTCCCAGTGTCCTCAGCTTATTAAAAAAATTCTTTTAATTTACATGCAGCAAATTGCACACATCATAAGTATCCAGATTAGTAAATAAACACCACACACACACACACACACACATGAAATCATAATTGAAATCAAGATATACAGTGTTTTCAATGCCCCTGAAGCCTCCCTGAGCTTCTCCCATTCCACTCACCAAAGATAATTGCAATAATGATGTCTATCACCAGAGATTTGTTGTTGCCTGTTCATGTATAGGGGAATCATATAGTAGGTGCTCTTTTCTCTGACTTCTTCCCCTCAGTATCATTTCTGAGAGGTTCGTCAGTGCTGTTGTGCATAATATGATTTTACTCTTTTTTAATTGCTGCATAGTGTTCCACTGTATGTCTATATCACGGTTACCATTACAGTATTGATAGATATTTGTGTTGTTTCCAGTTAACAATAAAGCTTCTCTGAAAATTCTTGTACATGCCTTTGTTGTATATATGCACTCATTTTTCTTGGAAATACACTTGAGTGGAATCACTGCATGTGATACACATAGTCACATACAGTGATACCTAATATTGATTGGTTGATTGATCACTGCAATGTAAGGTTTGTGTTGGTTGCTTTGGGAGACACTGCTAGTTTCTAAGGTGATTGCACCGATTTATACAATTGTCTTCATCCTGATCCTAGTTGCAGAGATTATTTGATACCACTACCTCTCTTCAGATGCTAGATACTCAAATTATCCACTTCAAAGTGAGAAGAAAATAATGCACCATCCCTGTGTGTTATGACCAGACATGGGGGCCTGTGGCCAAGCTGCCTGGGATTGCATGTTTGGGTTCTTTTAATCCAGGAGCACACAGCCATTTCCTTCCAAAAGACAGAGATCAGCTAGATTTTAACATTGATCACGTGACGTACCTGCAACAGCTCTTCTTGTTTCAGTCTCAAGCCTTGGTTCTGGGTCTGATTTATTGGGCCAGGCTCCTTATTTCCCTGTAATGTGTTCCCTGTCAGGAGCCCCGTGGCTCTTTTCTGTAATCAGGGGCCACCCCAGTCCATCAGTCATGTAAGTTCTCCCTAACCCTCAAAAAGAGTTCAAGTTTCCATCACTTTTTCAGGATGGAACGTGTATAGAAAGTTGTAGATCAAAGTAGACACATGGAAAGTGAGACAGTCCATGTTCAACCTGCTAACAACAGCCAAGACCCCAAACCATCTTTCTGAGACAAGACACTCCATTTTTGGTAGCTTATAAACAAGAAGAAAATACCATTTCAAAGCTGTTAGTTGTTTTCCTGCTTCTCTACATAAGAAAGCTTGGATTTCTTGCTTTATTTTTTAAATCTCCTTTATGTTTGTTTATTTTAAGAAAAAGCAACTGAAGAGAGCCGTTGGTTATGCAGATGTAAAGAAAAAATCATTTTTGACACTGGAGGTTAGAGAGGAATTGAATAATTCAACGTACTTATGTCAAAAATGGTCCTTAGGTATTGCTGCTTCATAGAAATTGTTTCCTTTAGAGAAAATGTTTTTTGTTTTTTTTTACTTTTTTTCCTTTGTGGAAAAAGCTTCTTCTAGAACTTTCCCAGGTGGAAGGTAAAAGAGCCCCTACCACAGAGCCGTCCCATAGAAAGTGAAGAGAGAGCAGGTCCCCGGAGCTGCACAGGGGGCCCGACCTAAGGCCTCCAGGGAAGACTCTGCTCACTTTAGGTTGTTTTTCTCAATGATCTTTTTTTTTTTTTTGCCATTATTTTCAAACTGCAAGTAAATTTTGTTAAGCATCTGGTGCCGTGGGGAATGAGGCCGGGCCTGGGTACATGCTTTCTGAGTCACAGAGAGTGAGGGGAGAGGCGTGCACAGGCTGGAGTGAGCGCAGTGGTGGGAGGCAGATGGCAAGAGGCACCTGTAACACGTTTATAGGACAAACACGGATGTATCTTTGGAGATCCTCAGAAATAACTTGGGAAAAAAGCTCAGAAACAGAACCGCCCGCTCACTCACGTTGCTGACTTGAGTTGCTGCTCTGTGGATTTTAAAGAGAACGGAAAATCCAATAGCTGGAGAGGCTTGTGTAATAGGCCCGGGGATGATTCATCCCTCTATCTGCAAAATTATCTGAGCCCTAGGCTCCTGCCAGGCCAAAGCATCCCACTGCTTTAGAAACCTCAGCCATGTCTTCTGTGAGACTCCCTCACATCACCTAGGCTGGGTTAATCTCCAAGTGCGTGTAACTTGAATAACATTGACTAAAACTAATTCTCCCTTTTCCCTGACTTAATTATATTCTCTTTTATTTTAATATTTAGTAAGTCTTCGATTTATGTGAAATTTATTTTTTGTGAATGGTGTAAGATAGAGATCTAACTTTTTTCCAAATGGATTGACAAATGTGGTTTTAGACTTTTTTTTTAAATTTTTATTTTGCTTCATTTTCCCTCAAAGAAGGAAGGACTTTTCTCCTCCACTGTGGCATCAATAAATCCCAGGGAAATATTGAGCCTGGCCTGGGGAGGACCACATGCCCACATGGGTGGGCAGGAGAGCAGACTGCTGTGATTGACAGCTGCCCTGAATCACACAGAATGGGTATTTAGGAAAAGTGCCCCAAAGGAAGAGGTGATGCTGTTCCCAGAGTAAGAGGCAGAAAATCTGGACAGATAAAATTAGCATCCCTGCCGCAGCCTCAAACAATCTCTTTTATCCTATTGGTGCATTTCTTTCTGTTCTTTTGGTTTGCTTTGATGTAGAAGGTGATAATAGTAATCATAAGAGCTAATACAGAGCATTTCTCTGGGCAGGACTTGCTAAGTGCTTCACAGGAGCTCCTTTGAAAGATACCTTTTTGATGGAAGAAAACTTCATCAAGAATTTCGTGTACAGTTTGGAGCTGAGAGAGAAGCTTGGGTTTTAAAGCTTTCAAGTTCAATCATCCTTTTTTTCTAGTTAAAAAATATAGCAATCTAATAAGCGTAAGGTATGCTTATTGGAAAACTTAAAGGCCATGAGTCCACCCTGCTTTGAAACATATATTATTTATGGTAAACAAACATACTGGCGCTCATGTTAAAGATTTAGTAAAATTATATGTACAGAAACTATATAATGACAGAAGAAAAGCTTAATGACGTCATACTGAAATTACCTAAATGCCTGGGTTTGAATTCTGGTTCTGTCATATTGCAGCTATGAGATATTGTTACTAAATTGCTTACTCTCCTGAACTTTCCTCATTAGTTAAAATGAGGGTAATAACAGTTCTACCTCACAGAGGTGTCATGAATCTTAAATGAGGTAATAATACATGTGAAGTGCTCAGCCCTGCACCTGGCAGATAGCAAGCTCTTTAAAATAATTTCAGCCATTGCTGTTACCAATATCATCATCTGTGCATCCAGAAAAGAACTATGCACGGAAAAAGGAAACGCAAAATTTGGGACTAGCCAAAGAATTCCCCCTAAAAGCAGTGAAAAAGAAATTCCAGAAATTTGTAATCATGTAAGGTAGACCTTTACTGCTTGAGAACACAAGCATCTGTTTAACAGTGAAACTAAGACTTAAAAGCCTTAAATGTAGCGACATCTGCTGGGAGAAAGGTGAATTGTTCAGCTTCTATACTATTCATATGCATCAAATT